TTTAAATCAATAGAAATATTTAAGTTCACCCCATCTATCATCCTAAATGAAAAACCCGACATATGATGACTCATGAAAAAATCTAGGTTTTCAAGAGGCTCACTCGCCTCTCACTAAGCACTAAATCGAAAAAAAGAGCGCAGCTTGGCTCGAAATAATTCGTCTACAAATACCCTTCAGATACTACATACTCCCAAGTTTGAGTTTTTAAACATATCAATACACGCTACTCAGAGGAACCAACAAAATGATAAATCCAAGTAAACAGTAAATAATTGAGAAAACACTGTATCTTCGGCATTTCGCAATGGCAAACATCACTCAAACAAAAGCAAAAACCTTGACGTATTAGCCAATAATCACTCTGGTGCAAAATTAATAAATCTATATACACCGTAAATAACTGGGAAAATAGGAGCTTTCGATATTCACCAAAACAATTTTACTAAAAAACTACAAAACCCTAGAAGAATCAATGTCTAAATCTTCTTCTTCAAAGTTTCTTCAAGGGAAAACTGTTAAGCAAGGCACAAATAATCATACCTGTCACGGATTTGGAGCTGGTCAATCATGGCCGACATTCGCTGCTTATCTTCTTCGGGGAGAGCGTCCAAATCCCCAAGCATGCTTTTGTCCATTTTTTCAGCTAATTATTTTGAAAAAGCGATTGGAACGAGTGCAACTCTGTAGAGTGTAGTGACTTTCTCTGCTCTATAATAAAACCCTAATGGCGGAGGGGAAGCCAAACTGAGTTTGAGCGAGTGAATGGACGGACAAGATTGAAAGACGATGAACGAACAAGATTTATTCCAGCTAAAGGGTATTTCAAGGAATACACAGTCCCCGTCCTCAAAAAAGTCAAAACCCCATAAACCAGCAGCGGTCAGCAAAGCAAAGCGACCAAAATCACACACACGAAAACCCTAAATCGCAAATTCGAGCTCTTTCAAAGGGATCTTCAATGGCGGACAAAGCAATTTCAGTTGAAAATATCAAAGCTTTTTGGCACTCTCAGCTTCACGACCCTGCTAAATGGGACTTCAACATGGTACGTCCTGTTATTTCATGCGATCGCTTCCTCGTATCCACTTTTTTATTTATTTTGGGTTAGCTTCGGGCCAATTATCATTTTTTTTTCATTATCCTCTTGCATAGTTTCATCTGGCTAACGGACGCTGAGCTTAGGTTTGGATTCCGACCTATTGTTAAGATTTTCATAATTTCATTTGTTGTTTATTCATAAAAGCAGGATTGGCTTGCCGTTGACCCTTAAACATGATAGAGTCCTAATTGATTTGATTATTTTAATGAATTCTGAAAGTAGCAATTGATACCTGTGTTTGTTGCTTGAGGTTGGCTTGATCTTATATCTGTTTGTCGTGAATTTCCCTTGTTATGGTATTTTAGAGTGGAGATTTGATCCTTGAAATTGATTGCAGTCAGTCATGTGAACCGATATGAATATGGTCTCTATATGGGCACCGAGCATAAATTTTAGCTTCAGAATACAAGGAAGCGGTGGTTGAGTCTGAAAAATGGGCACCGAGCTTAGGTTTGGATTTTGAATGTACTGTTAAGATTTTCACGGGATTTTTATCCATTATAGCAGGATTATCTTGCCTCTTAACATTGACAGTGTCCTGGTTATTTGATTTTTTTAACAAATCCTGAAAATAGATATTGATATCTATGTTTGTTGCTTGAGGTTAGCTCAATCTTATATCTATTTGTGGAGAATTTCTTTTGCTAATTTGGTTGGAGTTGGTCGAGTTGTGTACTCTTGTGTTTATGTGAGCCATTATGAATATAGTCACTTTATTCTTCATCTTATCATGATTGTGCATAAATTTTAGCCTTATAAAGAATAAGCAATTAGTGATTGGATATAAAGACATGAATAAGTACGGATGATGTTTTACCAGTGTTTGATGGAGTATTTCCTATGTGTCCCAGTTGCTTGGTCTTTTAGAGCCTTCGTATGCACAGTCTGAACTCGTTAATGCTGGAAATAATTTCGATTCTGAAAAATCCATGACTTGGGGTGAAGCGAGGTGGAAAAAATTCAAGCTATTAACCTATTACTTGCTCTTTGTTGCACCATTGTTTTTTATGTTGAAGTTTTTGTCCTTTGACTTGGACAAGACGTCTTTTTCCTCATGTCATATATTTGTTGGTCTTGACTCTTGAGCATAGCTAATGGCTGCACGTTGAATACGGATATTGCTTATTCAATTCTGTTGAGGGTTTGATCATAATCACACTTCTTATCTTTTCCTTTTCTTTTCTTCTTTATTTATTTATTTTTTTTTTTTTTGCTGCAGAAATTGGCCCGTGCAGTGGGACTCTTTGCTGGTTCAATCGTCTTAATGCGCCAGTATGGTGATCTTATGGCCATATGAAAAATCCCAACCCTCAGTTTTAGCTTATGTTTTCCTTGGGGATTAGTCTGGCTTGACAATTTCATTTTCTAGTCCCATATTTGCTCCATTGATTGATTGCTTTTGCAATGAATTTTACTTTACATTGACCTGTTCATGGGACGAATTTTTCTTGTGTAAAATTCAAATAACGATGCGACTCTTTTGCTTTTGTTGAGATATCATCCTTCTTTTGTCGAATGCAACTATCTTAAGCGTTATACTATGTTTAGAACAACTTGTTTCCAGTTTAAAATTTTGAGCCCTAATTCTGCCGAGAAGCTATTTGAGCAGTGGTTGTGTACTTGAAAACAATCATTTTTACCTCTATAAAATTTTTTAGTATGGAATTTTTGATATATTATTCACTTAATTTCCAGCACTTTACATTTTGTAGAAGCAGGGTTGCTATAATGCATCCAAAAGTTTCCTATCAAGTGATTCATAAACTAATATTAGACCCTGTGCATTTGCACATATGTAAATACAGTATTGTGAGTTATTTGTATTCATATAATGATTAATGATTTTACTTTCACTTTTTTCCATAGGCCAAATTTATAATTAAATGAATTGGAATATTTATTTTTTTAAATTATGTTTATCAGATTGGATGAAACGTATTTTTGGTATGTATTTTTTTATTATTTTGTTATTTATTTAGGAATTTCAAATATGTTTTTTATTTTCAAAAAAAAAATTAAATGTAGCCACAATAATAATGTCTAATCACATTATATAGTCAACATATTATATGGTCAACTATCAGTAATCAAAAGTTTAATATGATTTTTGTAATTTTGAAGTGATTAGCGTGTTGATTATCTAATAATTAAATAAAATGTTAAATAAACTAAAAGTAACAGCTTTTGGAGGGAAATGGTTATATTGCCACATAGGTAAAATTAAATAAGTTTTATTAAATGCTAACAACCAATAATTATATATATATAGATGGGGTCAGTCTAAATCATACATAATTTAAAAACCAACAAAACAGAACATGGAGAAAAAGTGTAGATAGTTTATGGTTAATCTATTCTATGATTGATAATTGAAAATTTAACTGATAATAAAATCATTTAAGTTAGTTTTCAGAACGTGGTTTAAAACTATAGTTTTTAGTTGATGATTGAAAATCTAAGTGACGGGATATTTGGTAAAATTTGTAACCGATAATGTAGTGTTGATGATTGAGAATCTAGGTGATGTGATAAAATTATTAGGCAAAATTAATTGACAAGTCTGGTGATACTAAAATCTCAAGAGTCAAAATTGTTTTGATAGATTAAATAATTTGTTATATATTTTTTAATTCAAAATTCAATTCAACGTTAATCCAATTTAATCTTCTTATATTTTATTAATATAATTAAATAATATTAATAAATCATCTTCCTACATTACACCAGTAAAATTTACTATTCATCTAGTTATGTATTTTTAACTATTCAATCATTTTTCTCCTACATCAAATCAGTTTTAATCAAATCAAACACTTCATCCATTAAATCAAATCAAACCCAAAATAATCCATTTCCAATCTCTGCTTTAAGTATTCGAGATAACATGGAGATTCGTAAATTTTCATTTATCAATTCAAACTAATTCGAAACTAAATTAATTATAAATTATAAATACACAATTATAATAACTAAACCCAACAAAAGAGCTTTGAGTGTTTTCCACTCGCTAGGAAAAAAAAACAAATAAAAATCATATTCATACAGTTATATTTTAATTTATCACATCTATCATCAATAATAGGAGTCAAACAGTTTACTGAATCCAATTGGCTCCTAATTTCTGAAGTCCAAAAGGCAATCGTAGCCGCACAAACTTCGTCATCAACGGCTCATCTGAGCCTATCAATGTTACTACTTAAAAACCAGCTCAATATGATCTACCGTTGGTTTGTCGAAACTCAAAAATGAATCTTCGGATCAGCCGATGTGAATCCACGGCGAAGAATCTGAAGTTAATACTCTCTTAATCTCTCAAAGCTCACACATTAATTAGCATGTTCCTCTGAGTTCCAAACTAGCATTTTGGTCGGGCCCCAGGGATCAGAACCAATGACTTCAGCCCGTGAGTATCAGCAAAATTTGGAATTTTTCTTGATTTTTTTTTTTTTTTTTTTTTGAATNGTTTTGTCTTGTTCAGAAATTTCTGCATATGCTGTTGCTTCTTATAAACACACACCCATATGGGTGTGTGTGAGCGTGTTTGATTCAATGGTAAAAAAAAAAAACTGAGCAAAGCTTCTAAAGGAGGCAACTTTATTGAATACCCCCAAAATTACTTTGGTTTTGCAACAGATTCACATGTACAGATGAGGCATTTTGCAACTAGCCATGAAGTTTTGATGCATAGCTCTTGAGACAAATAAGTTTCGTATATTTAGTGCAGACATAAGTAAATTTGCAGTAAATGGTGTGTATTAATTAATCAAAAATGGATTATTAAATCACATTACACGATTACTCACTATAAAGAAAAGATAAATTTAGGATATTTTACACATCCGCAATGCTGAGTTGTTAACATGTAGAACAAAAAAAAAAAACCCTGATACAGAATTGTATGCGATTTGATGTGCAGGCCTTATTATTCCTTTTGTTTTTTGTACTACTTTTTGTTTGTTGCTCTGCAAGAGCTCTTTACCCACTGCCAAGCAGGAGAAATGACCGAAACAGACAGCCGATCCAAACATTTCGAACATATAACATTGCACACCGTGGCTCGAATGGAGAAATTCCTGAAGAAACCACTGCTGCATATATGGTACTCGATAATCTATTTAAATTTGTAAATAAATAAACTTTATACCTACTTAAAAATAATTTTGTGATACCAAGATTGGCATGAATTGGCTTTAATTAGTGTAGCATTTTCATTATTAATATAATATGAATGTCGAAATACGAATTTGCAGAAAGCTATACAAGAAGGAGCTGATTTCATAGAGTCCGATATTTTAGCCTCCGAAGATGGGGTACTGATATGCTTCCATGATGTAAAACTTGACGACACTACTGATATAGCCGATCACACAGAATTTTCGAACCGAAAAAGAACATACGAGGTTCAAGGGGACTATGTCACTGGCTATTTCACAGGTGAAGAAAAAAATGTTTCGGAGGAAAGTGTAAAGAATTATTTTGTGATATCTTAGGGTGTGCTTGGATGCAAAAATTTTCTCAAAATAGATTTTTTTTGGTTAACCATGGTTAATTTGGAAAAATGTTGGGAAAATGTGGCATGTTTAGTGGAATTAGTGGGATTTTGAGTTTATATTAAAACAATATTTGAAAAAATAATAATTAAAGTCTATTTGATGTAAAAGTAGGAGAAAGATAATGTAAAGTGATTGTTAATTAAAATTATATGGGTGGATGAATAGTGAATTAAAGTTGATGTGATGTGTAAGAACAATTGATTGGTATTATTTAATTATATTGATAATATTGAGGATAGTGGAGTTGAGTTAAAGTTGAGTTAGATGTTGAGTTGAATTGAGTATGAAATGAATTTAGTTCTTACATAAATTCCATTTTTTGTGTGTAGCATTGACCTAGCTTTTAGGTTATGAAAATCATTGATATCATTTGTTCTGACATGCAGTTGATTTTACACTTGAAGAGCTAAAGTCATTAAGAGTGAAGCAAAGATACCCTTTTCGAAATCAGCAGTACAACGGTGAGTATCTCAAATTTGTTAATTTGCTTTCTCCTCTTTACTGAATTCGAACAAGTCCTCTTTTGTAATATATGCTTTCTCCTCTTTACTTTTGTAATATTTTTTTTTTCGTAAAGTCTTGCACATTGCAATGTTATATTAACTTTATAATTTCTAACTTACCGTGCAGGAAAGTTTTCAATTATAACATTTGAGGAGTTTATTTCAATTGCTTTAGATGCACCAAGAGTCGTTGGAATATATCCAGAGATAAAGAATCCTGTATTTATCAATCAACACGTATGACCTCTTCAAACTCGTTATTTTTTTTTCTGCAAATTTTGATGCATAATAATATCTAATGGTGAAAAAGATTCTGGCAGATTTGAGTAAATTGTAATATAATCAATTTTTCCTTGTGTTTACACTTTACATGTCTTTTGATTGATCGGCAGGTTAAGTGGTTAGGTGGTAAGAAGTTCGAAGACAAATTTGTCGAAACACTCAAAAAGTATGGGTACAAAGGTTCTTATTTGTCGAAGCAGTGGCTTAGGCAACCTGCTTTTATTCAGTCATTTGCACCAAAATCTCTTATATACATATCGAATCTGACCGACCTGCCGAAGATTTTACTAATTGATGACACAAATGTACCAACTCAAGATACTAATCAGGTTTGTTTAGTTCATATATTAAATTTTCTTCGAATTTTTTGTATAATTCAAGCTTTTTTTGGTGTTGGGGATTATGAGAAAATCGAGCCATAAATTACTCGATAGTTTAATACGTGATGTGGGGTTACTTAAAGTTCAATGCCATTGAAAATTGACAGATTTTTTATTTTATTTTGGTTTGTGATATTCTTACAAATTTCTGATTATGATGCTACTGATCTAACACAACACATTCGAATACATCAGTCTTATTGGGAGATAACTTCGGATAATTATCTCGATTATATCAAAGAATATGTTATCGGGATTGGCCCCTGGAAAGATACGCTTGTTAACACATCAAATAATTATCTACAAGAACCAAACGATCTTGTAGCAAGAGCACATGCACATAACCTTCAGGTACCATTTTTTTTTTTTTTTTGGGNTATATATATATATATATACTATTTAGTGCACATCAATACAATAGATATTATGAAAGTATTTCATTTCTGGAAATGACTTGATCAAAACAAGGTCAGCAAAATATATTACAAGTCTTGCTAGCTAGCAAAATCCTATTGAGTTCACTTTTAAGTACTGAGAAGAAGAAAAATAAATCTGACCCCTAAAAGACAGCTGCTCAAATAGAAAGAACAAAATCTGAAGAACTCCACTACATTTGCAAACTCTACTTAGATACTTTCAACTTGGCAATTTCTTCAAGCAAATACTTAGATTCAGCTGCATAATCGACTGGTGCAACGGCCCTGATTGTTATCCTCTGCTTCTTCTCGTTATTATATTCATGAGGAGTCACGCTAACTCGGAATAGATGTGGGACCCACATAGCATCCTTCAGTTTCATCTGGTAAGAACTATCTCCATCCTAAATTGGAAAAATCAACAAAAGAAATTAGAAAATACCAAAACANAAAAAAAAAAAAAAAGAAAACATTTTTTTGTCTTTTTTTTAATTCCTAACCTGAGTTCTCATTTCATTAAGCTCATCAGCTGAGCATCCGATGATTTTCTCAGCTTGCTCGTTGAAAACTGAGAGATAAGCTTCGCCACTTGCATCAGAAACTCTAACAACCATTACGTATCTGTTAACAGAATAAAGGACAGATTTTTGGTATTATACATTCATGAAGGGGAACTAAAATTAATGCACGGCCAAAAGCAAATTATGGAGATAGTTTTTCAAAAGTTGTGAACCTCAAACTGCAATCATCCTCATTCTTTTGGCACCCTTCACACCAATAACCAGACCCAACAGCTTCAGTAACTTTCTTATTACAAGTCTTGCAAGCTCGGTACCACATTGCTTGATCTTGTTTGATGTAGCTAATGTATGCTTTGATGCAGAAAAACACAGGCTGTGATGATAAATAGAAAAAATTATATATATGTCAGCAGCGACTACTTCAAAGAATATAATGCTTGACTATAATATACTAGAAACCACTAAAAAAAACTTCTAAAAGCGTTTTACAGTACCTTATCTTCTCCCAAAGATGGGTTGCTAGTGATATGAGCAAGGGAGACCCTATCAGAGTACATGGATCTTGCTCCACCTTTTGCTGATGGGCTTAAGCCATCACCAACAGAAGCCAAGTTAGTGTCTTTTCCTTCAGAATCATACCTGAATAAGATTTACAATCAAAGTGAAGAAATTAAGACTGTTGAACACAAGTGGAGAAAAATAAAAAATGAAAAATTTATAGATTAAGGTAAGCTATTTCATACCAAGATCTCAATTTTTTGGCCTCTGGGGTTTCCGGATTGACTACTACGATACTTTTGCTCACTGCTGATAATGATACGCCTGAATTGACAATGTGAGCAAATATTTCAGGTTCATATCAACTGTGGATAATGCATCATTTGTTACGCAAGTAACATGTAAATTTCACTTACCTTGAAAATCACCAACTTTAAGAGACTTAATTGCAACCACAGGAGATTTATCAGACATATCGAGCAATTCTTGTCCAACATTAGTGGCATGATCGCCCCACAAGGACACCACCACAGTTTTCTTCCTGTAAGTCAAAATCGGTTATAAAGTAAGTTTTAACAAGTACAAAAAAAAAAAGAATAAAAAAATGTTAATACAAATCATGAGGCATACGTCTCATCAGCTATTGTTATGTCACGTTTTGGAACAGTCTCATTGTTGCTCTTCCTTCTAATACTCATTGTGGGAGATACACTCTGAACCACCCCAATAACATCTTCGAAAGACAATCCAAAAGAACAAATTAGTAGAAAAATAAAATAATCATGTTGATAAAGGATAACATATTTGATTGTTGAGCCCCCTTACCAACGAGCTCTCTTCCATTGATATACGGGCCTAGCTCATCAATAGGGACGAAATTGAATTTAGTTTCAGGAATAAAAGTCCGCTCAGTTTCGATTTCCTCCACAACTGAATTCTCATTCAAGGTCATCTCATAATCATTCTGCACTGTCCTATACTGTTTGTTTGCAACCTTTAATGTACCCTTTGATATGTAGTACACTTTCCCCATCTGGAACTTATCAAAGAATTTCCTTGCAGCCTCATTAAACATCGTTGCTTGTATTTGAGTGCCCTGACACCATAACGAATATGATACCTCAGTTACAATGTAAAAATAAATAAATAAATAAATAACTTTAATAAAATTCTGACACTCAAAATCTAATGATTGACCCACATCTTCATCAGTCAACTCCACATTAAACACACAGCCTTCGCCTCTTGCATTCTTGTAGGATCGCATGTTTCCTTTGCTTGTGACCCAAACTTTAATTGTCCAGTTTCCTTGGTATGGGTTTAATGAAACAAGCGGATAAATCCTTCTTGTCATTGACATTCGTCCAGAAGGTGCCATACTGAGATTAAATCAAAGTTTTAAGTACAAACACATAAATAGATATACAATTGTGATTCATACAAGTCTATTCTTGTGTGTTATACTTTGGGTGTGTGTTTGTGTGTGAAAGTTATAGCATCTTTTACTTGATGACTTAGAAAACAATAACAGCCAGATTTAGCGCACTTACTTTCCATGCTGTTCATGAACTATCTGCGCAGCAGATTTAGCCATGACTTCTTCCTTCGGCTTCAACATAACACCATTAGCTTCACTTTTAACTACACTATTCCCATTAGCTTCACTTTTAACCACACTATTCCCATTAGCTTCACTTTTAACTACATTATTCTGCTCTGGACTTGAAACAAGCCCACTATCTGCCTTGTATTCCACCTCAAGTGCTGGTGACACCACCTCACATTTTGATACAATCAGGAACCTAAAGTACAATAAATTTCTGATCAGATGAAACCTTAATATTGATCAGCACATACCANATGAATGAATATTAGCAGAAAATCAGAAAAAAAAATATATATATATATTTACTTCTCATTCTTGGTTGGGATGTCACTGAGAGTGTAGTCAAGAACACGAATAAGTCCCAGATTCTGGATGCTTCCAGATGTTACTTGGGATGACAGAAAAGATTGCAACAGAGCTCTCACCTTCATTTTCCCATCATTCGCCATGAACCTGTGATGATTGAACAAAACAATTCAAATCAAAGACACTGAAATGTTTTATCCCTGGTTGTAAATTATTCATAAACTAATAATTCTTTTCTCTCTCTGAACAAAATGTGAGCCGTTTCAAAAAAATTGAACAGTCATCTCTGGATCAATATATCACACACTCGCTAATCTTTGCACAGCTCGCGAACTAAATATCACCATCTCAAGTAGAAAAAATAAAAAATAAAAAAGAAAAATCGCAATCAGCTTCTATAAGTATACTTATCACTTGAACACCCGCATATCTAACCTCTCAGCACATATAAAAAGAAAATAAAAAACTAAAAAATTACAACGTACAAAACAAATCAAAGACGTTCAAGTAAAAATCAATTCTACTTCCTCATAAGCCAGATCTCGTCTTGAAGCACACATTGAAATACACAGTAAATACTTCTCAAACCGATACACAGAGAGCCCATCAACCTAAACTAGCTAAAGGCACCACCTTTAGCTTCATATGTGAGACTCATTTGACTGTTCACTTGTGAATTTATAACGAATAAACAATAAAGGGATCAAATCAAACACTTACATGTACTTGGTACCGGTCGGTTTCAGATCGACGACTTGCACAACGATCTCCGGCAAATTTGAAGAAGAATCCGGACATGGGTTGGCCAGAATAATCGACACCGCATCTGGGCTCACTGTTTTCGACATATTCCACCTACCAATTCGATGCTTATCTGTAAATCACGTTATAAAGAAACCCAAAAATGGAGGCAAGGCTCAAATCTGGATTTTGCTACCATTAATGGTGAAGAATGAGATAATTGGTGAATGGGAAATGGGGGGGTTTTTGTATAGGGTGAAAATGCGCGGGCGAGATTTTGGAGGGAATTTCAGAAGCTCGTTCGAATTGGGCGGGAATTTGTTCGCCATTTTTGGGGATTTTGGATTTTGTATGGGTTATGTTTTGGCGGCGTGTTTTGCCGGTGATTTGTTTTTCCCCTGTACTCAAAGTGGCGCCAAATCACAGCCCCAAAATTTGGTGGATTTTAGGAGTTTAATTTAAAATTTTAAACACGGAAAATAATAGTAGGATAATTGTCTTTTCATGAATTTTTTTTTAATATATAGTGACAAGTTTGTTATTAATGAATGATATATTTTTCACATCAAGTAAATTAATATACGAGTTAGGTTCTATATTTTAGCTTTAACTATAATTCTCTATTTCTCTTATGTTTTTCATAATTAATAATTGAATTGTTGCTTGTTGGGTCTTACTATTTTGGATCATACCTAGATTTGTCAAAATAGACCTTGATATGCGGGCCGGCTTGTCCAGACCCGCATATTAGGCGGGTTCGGCTACTATTGTAAAGGGCAGCAAAACAATGGGCCTAAACGAGTTAGCCTGCACAGGCTGCAAGTCTGGCTAGCCTATCATTTCAAAGAAAACGCTTTTAATTTGTAAAATTACACGACTGAAGTGACGACTTCTCACAAATCACAATCTCAAAAAAACCTAAAACACAATATTGAAAGTGTGAAAGACGAAAACTCCAATTCCTCCAATCGCTCGAACAAATCAAGGGTTTCTCTCACAAACTGATTTTTTGCAATACATCGGACTATTTCCCAAAGCAAGAGGAGCTTTTTCAGGTGGACACGAAGCAAATAACTCAGAGCTTGGCTCGTTAAGAGCTCGAACTCAAGCCGAGCCAAGCTCATTTAATTTAAGAGCACAAGTTGGAAGTGTACAATATTAGTAGAAAAAAGAAAAACAGGGGGAACCTTTACTGTGGTGTGATGAATTTATGATTTTCTCGAGCAAGCTTCAACATTTCCTACTCAAAACTAATTTTTTTACCCAGTTAAAAAAGAGACTTCTATTGTTGCTCTTAGTTTTTGTGCCTAGTTATTTTTATTCTGTAGGCCGGTCCACCTAGCCCACGACAGAGTTGGGTCGGGCTACCCTTTCACAGGCCCGTTGAGATAGTCCACCTAGCCCACGACAAGGTTGGGTTGGGATACCCTTTCACAGAATGGAGGGCAAGCATGCTATGGGCTTGCCAACCCGCCATCCCGTTTTGCAAGTCAAATACTCTTGTCGGGCTACCCTTTCACAGAACGAAGAAGGATCCCCTGACCAGGAGAGCCCTTCAAATACCGGACCACACGCAGTGCAGCGTCCCAGTGAGACTGTCGCGGTTCGTAGCCTCTACCACTTCCCCTTTGAGATCCTGAAAAGAAACGGCGCATCGGTCTGTATGGAGCGGATTGATGGGCTTTTGCTTCTACTGGGATTTTGAGATCTATTGCTATTTATTTAATAGGGTGGAGCAAGCTTAAACCTTGTTCGACGAAGGTCAATTGCATCGAACGAAGTTCAGTCATAGACAACAAAACAAAAATAGGTTTGGTTGTCAAGAATCGTGGCTTCATTTTGAATAAAAATCGATTTCTCGGGAATAAGACCAAACAAAGGAAAAATATCTTGGCAAAGACATGACAGCCAACCTAATCTCCCGTATTCGACAGGAAGATCAGCTGATCTCTAGCTTGTTCCGCGACTGGGATCATACTTTTTAACTGAGGTTTAAGAGGTTGCGTCCAAAAGACTATTCCCAAGGTAAGCAGAAGCCTAAATCTCTCCGTAAAGTAAAGAAGTAGCCCGGCCAACGGACTCGCTGATGTATGGAGAATGGAGGGCAAGCACGTTGTGGGCTAGCCAACCCCGCCATCCCGTTTTGCAAGTCAAATACTACACGAGGAATAACACAAATTTAGACATACAGCCCCTATGTTGTTAAATTTAACGAATTTGACTAGGCTCGTTAAGGCTCAAGTTCGAGTTTGAAGCCTTAACGAGCCGAGTTTGAACTCATTTAAAGCTTGTTTTAACAAGCTGTGTTCGACTCGTCACGATAAGCCTCGTTAAGCTCCAAAAGAAATTTTTTATATAATTTTTAGAGTTTGGCTCATTAAAGCTTGAGATCGAGTTGTTAAAGCTCAAGCTTAAAGCCTTAACAAGCCAATCTCGAACTCGATTTATGGCTCGTTTATTTAACGAGCCAAGCTCGACTCTACTCAATAAGAGCTCAAGCACCTTAAACTCGAGCTCGACTCATCTCGTTTACAACCTTATGTCAAGACACTTTTAAAACCAATAACTATTAAACATACCCATCATTAGGGTCATCTCAAAAAATTGCATAGAAGAAGCTTAATCCTTCATAATAATACCAGCAAGCCAAAATCGTAGAATTGGAATGTTAGAAAAGGTACTATTATATTGGTAGGTCAGCCAGTCTTCTTACTCCAATTCGGATTTGAGTAAGATACCGCCACAACATCTATACGAAGTATTGCATAAGGGAAATATTGAAACTGTAGTAATAGTAAGTAAAATGAAGATGTCGATCACAACAAATCAAAGCAAGATACTCCACCAAAGACAAAACAAACATTAAATTATCCATCAAGTAATCCAAAGTAGGGAAACAAAAACGAGTTTTGCTAATTGAAATTCAAAATTCCATGTAACATTTGGCAGGAATAACAAAGGTCACTGACAATAAATCCCGGCAAGTAGCCAACAAAGGCCAAACAAACAAGTCCCTATTTAAGGGGGCGCTCAGAAAAGAGAAGTTCCCTTGCCCTTCTTATCTCCACCAATCTCGAAATGCTTGCATCTCTGCAAAACCAACAGCACAACTAAATATACTTAGCAACAACCATAGAGGAAACATTATCAGGAAAAAAAGAACTCCAACGAAAAACATCAAACAACAAACCTTGATAGGATGCTGTGAAACATGCTTGCAACCTTGGCATTGCAATCTCAGCACAATCTTCTTAGTTGTTTTTGCCTAATCAATAAAAAATAAAATACACAAGAAAATGAAGTTAAGAAAACACATCCGAAAATATCCACAATATTAGAACAACCTTTTTTAGTTAGTTATCAGGGCCCGTAACCTTTCCACGGTGAACTAAAAGACATTAAAAAATATCAGTTCATTTGGGTAAAAAAAATTACCTTCTTGTGAAAAACGGGTTTTGTCTGGCCACCATAACCCGACTGCTTGCGATCATAACGGCGCTTACCCTGAGCGGCCAAGCTATCTTTGCCCTTCTTGTACTGGGTCACCTTGTGCAATGTGTGCTTTTTGCACTGTTTTGATTTGCAGAAAGTCTTCTTCGTCTTTGGAACGTTCACCTGCAAACACAAAGCCAAGAACAAATCAATCGGCTAAAGTGCACGAAACAATACTAAAAGCATCCATTTTAAAGAGTTGATGCTATATATGCACAATTGGCTATTACTCGATATATGGATATGTCGAAGTTAGCAAGAGATATAGAACCAATTCAATATCAATGAATTCCAAGGAAACTAACTGGATCAAGGTGCAAGGACAAAACCAAAAACGAAAGAAAACTCAATACTTTAGTCCATCCCAACTGTCATTACGAGTGAAAAACCCACAGTACGGTGGCTCACAAAAAGCTACCCTTTCAAATGGCTACTTTGCCCCTCACTAAGCACTACCAACTAAAACTCATGTTTCTCAACAATGACACCTAATTCATTTTAAATCAATTGTAATATTTAAGTTCACCATATCTATCACTACTCACGACAATTAAACTTTCATATTGCTCAGTTGACCCAAACTAAGCACTAACATCAACAAAAGCTCAAGATTCTCAACACACAGTTCATTTTACATCAACAAAATTAGTTTGAAATTCCTAAATCAGAGAGATAACGAATCGCATCCAGAATTAAGCATATAACGACCAATTTCCGCACCTCAGTTGAGCAAAATCCAACCTTTTTTCCACCCCAAACCAAAAAACCATCGCATTGTGTAACAACACAAAACAATATACAGCAATCTACACTTCTAGAACTAGAAATGCTAAGCTAACAATATATTTCACAGGTTACGAGCAAATCAGATCCAGCATCAAATGACACGCGAAGAAAATACATAAATAAGCTAAAAATATGGCAACAAAGTAAGCTTCTAAGAGAGAGAGAAACTCTAACCATGGCTGCCGGCTGATGAGAAAGGCCGAGCTGTGATGTTCTGCAAAACTGAAACCCTAGAGAGAGTGTTAACGGTATTTATACCATCATTTTTATGTGCAAGTAAGTGAGTGGGCTCGGCCTGACTAATTAGAGATTAGATATAATTCCTTGTTGGGCTTCGTATTTTGGGCCTAGGCTGGAAACATTTACAATCACAAACGACCTGCTAAATTTTTATTTTTATTTTTATTTTTTTAAAAAACTACATTGTTTACTATTTTTTTTATTTCCACATTCATAAATTTTTATTTTTAATTATAAATATAAAAAATTTTAATATAAAAATATAAAAAATTTTAACCATTAATATATTCTTTATTCTTGGTAAATTGCATTATTTTTTTGTGTTATCACTCTTTTATACATTGATTATATATGATTTATTTTAAATGTCATATTTTTGCAAAATATAAAAAGTATAATAAACATGTAAAATGGTCCTTTATATATATGTACCGATTAATAAACTGAATGTGTTTCGTGATTACATGTGTCAATTTTTTTATGTTTTATAATAGTCCATATATAATTGGAATTCTAAACTTATAATTTTTTAATAAATCAAATTATAAATACATAAATATCATTTTTATATGTAATTGACTTTTCATATGTGATATAATATATTAATATTATAGTTTTGATTTTTTTAATATATGTATTGCATATATAAAAAATAATATTTTTATAAATTAAAAATAATTATAATCCGTCATAATATAACTCCAACGGTAATTTCAAATTTTCAACCATTGGCTACGTGGCACATAACATTGGTGGTTGGCTCCTATAGCATTTCTCAATGTTTTAATATTGTAACTTATCCAATGGGAATATAACGGGAACTCCAATTGAAATATTCCACTAAAAGTTCAGCTTCATTTTGACGATTTAATTACACTAGGTATTTCGAAGTGTTTGGAATTTGGAATTGTTGACGGACGACCAACTCCAATAAAAATTGCATATTTCAATTAAAATTCTTAGAACAACAAAGTGTTGAAAAATGTGTTTTCTAAATTACCAAGTTCCAACCAGAATTTAAGGAAAATCTAATTCAAACAGAATATTTTATTACTGGTCTCGTTGAAAAAAAAAATCCAACCAAAGTTATAACATTTGAACCTTCGTATCCATCTCCTAACTTTTACATCAAATCAATTTTGATTATTTTTTTAAATATAAAAAAATATCCAACCAAAGTTATAACATTTGAACATCAGCATGAGGTTATCCATCTCCTACTTTTACATCAAATTAACTTCAATTATTTTTTTAAAATATTATTTTAATATAAAGTTAAAATTTCACTAACACCTAATCATACCACATTTTTTCAAATTAACTCTGGTTAACTCTAAACCCTAAACCCTAAAACCCTAAAACCCTAAACCCTAAACCAACAAAATCTATTTTGAGCGGAAATTCTTGTATCCAATCATGCCCTTATTATGTAAGAGAACGGTCTCCTTAAACTGCTCATGTTAAAAACTAGTGTATATCCCGTGCGATGCACGGAAGAGTTCATATTTCAAACATTTTTTAGACTTTATTTTAAATATAATTATTTATATTTTTCACTTCTCGTCTATTATGAAAATAAAATAAATACAATCAATGAAAAATATATATTATTAAATACTTTTCTTTATACAATATTTTTTATTTAAGGAATATTATTAAACCTTACGGTTTTGATTTGTTTTTTTAAATCAATAATCCAAAATATATGATTGTTAACGTACAAAAAATAATGGAAATAATTCAGACCTTAAAGTAAAGCTATTTTTTATTATTTTACAAATAAAAATCTTCCAATTTTTTTTTAATTTCAAAAAAAAATTTAGCAAGTTGGATAATGAGTTAAATCAAGTTATACAAATGATTAAATAGTTAAAATGTTATATTAATTATATTTTAAGAAATCCGATTATATAAAAATGGGTAAAAAAATATTATACTAATTAGTTTGTTAGGATTGTGATTATATGGAAGTTAAAATAAAATGAAATGTAACCAAAAAATTTGTTCGTGGTTTTTTCCTAAATGTTTGAATTTAAAAATCTAGTAACCAAATTTACATTATATCACGTAAGGAAAAAAATATATAATAAATATTTATTAAAGAGATAAATCAATAATATTTATCACTTAGATAATAAATAATAAATATTTACATGTAAAAAAATAAATAATAATATATTTAAAAATATAAGTCAGAATTTCAAATAAAGTAAAAGGAGGGATAACTCATTTTTTAAAAAAAATTTCTAAATATTTAATATATTGATAAGTATCTCCATAAAAATAATCATACCATTTTAATTTTAAAAAAATTGACAAGTTTGTTAGAGAGATAAATTGACAAATGATTAATTTGTTAAGATATTATATTAATTGTATCATAAAAAATCGGTTAGATGATGTAGATAAAAAAAGATAATACTAATTAGTTTGTTAGAAATGTGATAATGAAACCAAGATAAAATGAAATTTACCCAAAAAAAATTGTTTGGAATCTTTTCCTTTAAATGTTTGAATTTACAAATTTAATACCGAAATTCTATTATATCACATAAGGAAAAAATAAATAATAAACGTTTATTAATATATTAAAATATGTAATTTTGAATTTCATATAAAGTAAAAGATATGCTTATTCAAATTTATTTTTAAAATACAAGTTATGATAAACATTTATTGATTCTCTTTCAAATATATTAATAAAATAAAAATATAAATCTAAACAAATTTTGAAACAACCAAAAAAATCGGATTGATTGGCATAAAAAAAGGAAGTGAAATCGAATTTGAATGCTAAAATCGGAACACCTTATCAAATTGAATGCTAAAAGATTCGATTTGATTGGTTACCTAATTGCATGGGCAAAAAAAATTCAAAAAAAAATTTACGAATTGAAGAAGCGGGAAAAACACTATATTGAAGCGGGAAAACGAAATAATTTTTTTCGAATTGTTCAAATAATTTTTCTTCTCCATATTATATAGTAATAGATTTCAATGGTTGATTAAAAAGAGAGGACTTATATGATATTTGATGTGTAACCAATAAACTAGAACATACAGTAAAACCTCCCACATTGTATAGGTAACTAAAAGGTGGTCGAAAACTATACCAGTATATATACACTACTGTTACGGTCTAACGTATCATACACAAATACTTCTTGTAACAACGTAAAAAACAACTATTTACATTACCTAATCCATATATGATGTTCAGAACTTCAGATGTTCTGCAAACTGCAATGCATCTTAGATCCTTGTAAGCAATTCTTCGAGGCAATTTTAGTGATTCCTGCTCGTTTGAAATCCTTTCACACGAGTTCTTGCCCGAAAATATTCTTCTCATCCTGCAAATCCAAATCATCCAAACCAAACACAACCTAACCGAATCTATGTAAAGAAAAAATATATTAATAATCAGAAGTGGATACTTTCTCCATTTTTTTCAGAGGCAGAGATCAGACTTGTAGACAGGTGAATAAAAAAAAAAAAAAAANAAAAAAAAAAAAAAAAAAATTCTCATATGTAACATCAAAATCAGCTTATCAGCAAATAAATGAAATGGAGATGTAGAGGGCCAACTGTCCTCGTATTCTCCATCATGAAAAGAACTTTCCAAATCAAGAAAAGAAAACCACCGAAGCCACTGCCATTCAGCATAACGGGTCGATTTTGATTCAGACAATAAATTAAACATTTTTACGGATATCTATTGTATTTTTGTTTATTGAACGTACTCTTTAACATGCATTAAATAATTAAGCCTGACATTTTTCATTAAAAGTGCATTTTTGTTGATACGTACGCCTGGCTCTTTCACTAGGCAGACAGACATTTAGGAAGAAAATAATAGCTACCAACTATATAGAACCATTTTATAAAGAACCTATAGAAAAGAATCGAGTTACTTTGTTTACAGTATAATTTGGTACTGATATCAGAGAAATACAAGGGAATTTTCAGAACTGTGCAGATAACTGCTGAGAAAGTTCAGAGCTATAATCCTAAATGTTAAAGGTTATCATAATTCTCTTAAAATGCATAACATATTTCGTTCAGAAACACATGCTATGTGCACCAACAAAAGCATTTTCAGCTATGAACGAACACAAATAAGGCAAAACCAACAAACAAGCACCAAAAGGAGTGCAACTATCAGGTTTCTACTTTTGAGGCAAACCAGGCAATTAAAAATCTTATTATTCGGTCAATAACGCCATGACTGTAAACTAAATAGGAGAAAAATAGTTGTTAGGTTATTAAGAATGAATTTGCAAGATTACAGTCAGGTCACTAATCCGCACACAACAAAAAAAAAGCAACAAGAAAGTTATAAGTTTATGCAATGCAGTCGTATTAAAGATTTATCAGATAAGTCATGTACAAAATTCCCAAACCCAACATGAAAAATATTTACTTTGCAACATTATTGGACTACTCTAGAGGAGAAGCTAACATATCATCAAATAGAAAGAGAGTAATAGTTGAAGATCATAAATTTAAAAGAGCATTATCAATTCTAAATTTTGATTTGCTGAGCATTTATCAACTCCAGATTGAACATTGTCTTCTAACTTAACCTTTGTTTATACATCACTTTAGAATCTAAGAGCATTTGCAACTTCCCATTCGAAATTTCAAAAGTTCAGGATGGCCTTTTCCTAAATGCTCCTGAGATAGTGAAAAAAAATATGTGGAGGGCTCCTTGCCATACCTGTCTCATACATTTTTCCTTCAAATTTCATGTGAATTTAATATTGATTCAGTAATATGCAAAGTATTGAACATGGCAAACAATTTCTGGAACTAAATCTTGAGGCTTATTTGTGCTTCACATACAACAACAACAACAACATAGCCTTTAGTCCCAAGCAAGTCGGGGTAGGCTAGAGATGATACCCAAGAGAAACACAAAAAGACTCGCACCGAAAGGAAGAGATCGAAAAAAAAAAAAGAGAGAGAGAGAAAGAGAGAGAAAGGAGCAAAAGTCACGGTTCTGGCACGTTGATAGCGAGCCTCCAAGCACTCCTATCCACCGCTAAATCCTTGGAGATATTCCAATCTTGGAGTACTGCTCTGCAATGTATCTTTTACATTTTTCATAATTTTGGAGCCATAATTGTGGAGTATACTTGAGTTGAGTCTGAAGTCCTTGCATTTTAACATGGCCAACACAATTAACTTCTAGGTTAGTTACTCAACATTCAGAATTCAATACATTGCAAACCAAGCCTTTCTCATTCATAAGTGTTTGCACAATAATAGCAATCCATCAAACTAAACAAACAAACACAAATAACAAACAAATGATGATAATTCATCAAAAAACCGCATCAACAACAGATTAAGGCACTCGATTCCTGTTACAATTCACCCAACACACTCTGTAAAAACCATCGAGAAAAAACAGAGGCCCTCAAATTCAAATTTCTCAAATTTAAGCACGACCGGAACAAAGAAGGTCAAAAAATCGGCCCAAAAAGACACTCGAAACCAAAAGTAATGAGTTATGTGTTTTTTAAAACATCAACAGGTTCATAGAACATTGTACGACAAAATCCTCGAGCAAAAGCCGAGTCAACAAATAAAACAACACACCTAGCAAGATGGACACAGGAAGTGCAGGCAAAGCCTTACGGTAAAACGCGAGGAGCAAAAGAGTTACACCGAGGCCAGCTATAATAGCAAGGTAGCACGCGTAGACAGTCATGAAATCGTACATGGCCGCTCGACCAACTAACACACTGTAGAAAATGAAGTCACCCAATCCAAGCTTAATCGCACCAGACGAACCCAAACCAATTCCTTCAAGAACAAGATCATTGCTCGAGACACTATTCTCCACCGAATTCACATGTTGAATAAGTGGGGCATTGAGCTCGTTCTCCACAGCCATTACCCGACCCTCCTCCACATTCACAAAATTCGTCTCGTTTTCCGAATTTCGATTTTCACCCGAACGGCTCGTTTCCTCTCTCCACACCCTTCTTCGCGCCACGTCACTGCTCGGACCATGATCGTGGATAACAGGCCTAGCCTCGTAAACGAGCGCAGGAATCTCTTCATCCCTAGAAATCGCGAGCTCGACCAGGAGCCTGAGAGGCCCACCAGGCAGCAAAACAGCGGCAAGATCGTACAATGCCATGGCCACCAGAAGAACCCAAGTGGTCCATTCAGGCAGAAGGGTGAACCAGTAAGCAACAAGAACCCCAATCAGAACGAGGTAAGCTTGAGTCACGAAAAGAGCCATTTTCGACATGAGTACGGCTAGGACGCCGGTAACCGTGAAATTAAACCACAACACAGCAAAAGTAACACAGTCGACCGGAAAGCTGAAATCTTGGATCAGGAAAAGGGCAATCTCGGCCCCCATGAAACCCAGGACGAGAAATGCGGAGAAACCCATGTAGTATTTCAGGAACTTGGTGCACCTGAAGTAGAACAGGAGGACCAAGAGGAAAGTGACGAGCGTGACGACGACCACGAAGACGAGCGAGTTCAGAAGGGCACCTTTGAGCTTGTCCCAGGTGGAGTCGGAGCTGTTCTCGGAGTAGGCCACGGTGGCCATGGTGGTGATCGACGAGCCGCCGCCGTTTGAGGTGGAGGACGAATCGCCGTTGAGGATGGACACGAGGATAACGACGGTGAGCATGCAAATCGAGACGGGGGTTATGATTCTTACGATTTCCTCGCCGCAGGTTTCGAGGATGGTTTTGGGTCTTCTTCTTGAGTTCTGGTCCATTTTTTGAAAGATCCAAATGGGCTCGATTCCGATGGATGTGGTTGAAAATGGAGGACAGAAATTCAGAGACCCAGACGATTGGACTTCGGTGTTAGGTTCTTCAATTCGATTGGAACCAAAATCCGGCGCCTTGACTATGGAAATCTTCGCTATTGTTAAGAATTAGGTCTGGACTGGAGATGGCAGCTGGAGAAGGAACTTGATGGAAATTGCAATTTCTCAAACAGTAAAAAATTATATTTTTGTCCAAATATTGGTTTTGGCCTTGCTCAACCCGAGTTCGAACTCATGTTATTCGAGCTCGAATCTTTAATTAGTCGAGCCAAATTCAACTCGTTAAATAAACAAATCAATAATTAAGAATGAGTTTGACTTTGGTTCGTTTTGTCAGTATTAACAAGTCGAACTCGTTAAAAATTCGTATTTTAAAATTCGAGCTTAACTCGTTAACAAGATGATTTTTCAAGGAGTTCGAGCTCGACTCGTCTATCAAACGAACCGAGCTAAATTTAAGCATTGGCGAATAAAAGTCGAGTTAGAACTTATAAGCAATTTTTTTCGTTTAAATCTTTAATTTTTGCCTAATTATTTTTTTCAAGAGCACATGTGTTCTTAGAACAATATATTGGTGTTGGATCATTGAACTGTTAGCTAACTCGGTAGGTCTAACACATTTGATAATAATTATTGTAAAACTGTTAAACGAAATAAATTGTTCACAAATACAATTAGCTATTCACGAAAGCTCAAGTTAAGTAGACTCTGTTCATTAATATAAATAAGTTAGCTCGAACAACTAATCAAACTCGTTTACTCATCTTCGACTCACGAAAGCTCAAGTTAAGTAGAACTTGTTTACGATACGAGATGATCTGAACTTATTTGTGAATATTTTATTTTTATTTTATGAATTTTGATGAACACGCAAGAGTCGAATTTATTTGAGAATGAACATTTGATGTTCATAAACAACATGTTTAAGGTTTAAAATTTATTAAACAAGTTAGAAAATTTACAAAGTCTTGTAGTCATCTATTAAACCAACCAATTTATTAAACACGAACCAAAATGGGATGAAGAATGACTTTTCAATACATTTCAAGAATGTGTATGGTTTCTCATTAGTTGAGATTTATATGTTTACAATATGATTTAATATAAGATTCTTTCCAAAAAAATTTGTATTGTCTAAAAAAGAAATGAAAAGGTGATAAAAAATATTTTTGAAAAAGATGAAATAAATTTGAAATGAATGAACATGCGTTAAAAAATATAGTAATTAATATTAGTGATATAAAAATATTAATAATTAAAATTAATAGTTAGAAATATAATGCGAATGAATACAATAATAATTAACTTTTATTTTTAAACACGTGTTAATAGAATTTGTACGAAAAAATAAAATAAAACGGATAGTGTTTTCTATGATTTATTTTATTTTATTACTATTTTCAATAAATATCGCAATCCAAAGTTGTTGAATTTCCTACTTGTATATATAATATCTATGCACTGATTTCATCGACGGCTGAGAAATCACAAAGGCGAATCCAACGGCCACCATTAACCGAACATTTCCCTTATAAAATACTGTTCGTTTCTCCCCAGCTATAGAAACCCCTGCCGACCCTCTCTCCTGTAGGGTTTTACAGTCCCGAGTCCCCATTTTCAGTCCACAGAGCTGAAAAACAGCTGAAAGCAGCTCATCGATAAGGTAAACCTTCTTCCTTTCACCCATCAACACACTCTTGCATCATAGATCGTTGGTTTGTATCTGTGTAGCTTCTGTTGTCTTGATACGCTTCTTTTCTTCTTTATCTTTTTTGTTGTTGTTTTTTTTTTGTCCTTTTTTAAAGGTTTTTGATGGTGTTTTTCCTATGTGGAAATGGGTTTTCGTTTTTCTCCAGAGTGATTGTTGGCTTATATGTAAAGACACGTTCTTTTCTGTTGGGCGCTCTTTGCTGTTCATCGCCAAACCTTTATCGGTCGTTATAATCCTTTATAACCCGTCTTCTCCCAATTATTTACTGTTTATTTAGATTTATTAATCTAACGCTAGAGTGATTATTGGCTTTTATGTCAAGATTTGTGCTTTTGTTGGATGAACTTTGCAAAATGCCTGAAATACCTTCTTTTCCCAAATATATACTGTTTAGTTGGGTTTATTTATTTATTGATTCTTCTGCATATTGTGCGAATGGGTATTGATTCTATTAAAAACTCAAACATGGGGAGTATGTAGAATCCGAAGGATATTTGTAGAGGAATTATATAAAGCCAAGCTGTTTTCGGAGAAAAGTACTTGTTTCTGAAGTCTTGAATCTTGAATCTGAAGCTTTTTGGTATTTACATTCTCTATTCGTTTTAAAGAAGCATTCTTTTTCTCTTGTTTAAGGTTAATCCACAATGGCTTTCTTGAGAAAAGCTGGGAGTATTTTTGGAAGGTGCCACGTCAGCAGCCGGGACATCACTCTTTCAAATCCCTCCATCTTTCAAGCCGTGAGATGGATGTCGTCTTGTAAGCTCTTTGTTGGAGGTAACGTAACTATTTCTTAGTCCACTCATTTTTCAAGACACTCTAATTTCACTGTGTATGAATTTGTATTATGTGCCTTTATTGTTCCCTTTTTTCTTTCATAGGAATCTCGTATAGCACGGATGACACGAGTCTCAGAGAGGCTTTCAGCAAACACGGTACAGTTGCCGAAGGTAATTAAAAAAGAAAAAAAAAGAAGCTCTTGCTTAGCTTTTCAAAATTCTGCTAACTTATTAAGAAAACTCTGTATTATACATACTATTACTTGTTGACAATTATTATTAATTGCATTAGCAGGTTGAACTGTAACTCTGACCCGGATAGTCGGTTTTGTATGTATCTTATGAGCATTTAGCTTTTTGAGTGTAGAAATTTTTGTAATGATTGTGTATGTCTTGTTGCAGCAAGGGTGATTATGGATCGTGAAACGGGTAGGTCAAGAGGATTTGGCTTCGTTACTTACGTTGAATCCGACGAGGCATCCGCAGCCATTCAGGCTATGGACCAGCAGGTGCCTTTTCTTTTCCATTTTTTTTTTAAATCATCATTTGCAATTTCAATTAAGAGTGTTTGGTAAGCACGCTTATTGCTTATTTGTTTAGCTTATAAACTTTCTATATGCAAATAAGTTTGGTTTAGGCTATGTTTGGGAAAAGTAGCTGATTCTGGATCTGATAAGCTAGCTTATAGTTTATATGTAATTTTTGAGCTTATAGCTTATAACTTATGACTTATAGCTGAAAAGTTAGGTTATATGATAAAAGTGTTTGGTAAAATTAGCTGATAAGGTATCTGAAATAAAAAATCCAACTAGTTTATTTGAAAAGCTACCTAAAGTAGCTTGTGAGATAAGCTTGAGCTTTTTAAAAAAGCTCGTCTACCAAACGAGGATTATTTCAATACAGGAAGTTTATAAGCTAATCATATAAGCTAGAAGTTAGCTTATTTGGCTTACTATGTTTAGCAAAACTAGTTGATACTTTCTCGATCCGGATCCTTCCCTTTACACCCTTTAGCTTATGCTGATTTGTAATTTTTGAGCTTGTAGCTTATAACTTATGACTTATACCTGAAAAAAGCTAGCTTATATGGTAAAATTGTTTGGTAAAATTAACTGATAAGTTAGGAAATAAAAAATTCATCTAGCTTATTTGAAAAACTACCTAAAGTAGCTTATGAGATAAGTTCGTTCGAGCTTTTTAATAAAGCTCGTCCTACCAAACGAATCTTATTTGAATACAAGAAGCTTATAAGTTAACAAAATAAGCTATAAGCTAGTTTATTTGGCTACCAAACATAGTCTATGTTTGGTAACTAAATAAGCTAGCTTAAAGCATCTACAATGCATTGGGTCTAGTCTTGTCTATGTGGCATGTAAATAAACCCAAGCCTTGAGTTGACATGGATAAAATTATGTAAAATGAACAAAATCTACTCCAATACAAAGATACTAGGTCTCTTGGGTCTAAAATAGACTTAGGGGAGACTGGGTCTCTTTTTTCTGGGTGTCACATCAGCAGGACCCAGTCTACTTTTATTTGCATTGAAGAATACATTTTTTTAGACTACGTCTATTTCTTAGGTGACATACAATTTTTTGGGATTGAACCCAAAGCATTGTGGATGCTCTTATAGCTTATTGGTTGACTTATAAGTTTTCTGTATTCAAATAAGCTTTGCTTGTACGACGAACTTTTTTGAAAAACTCGAGCTTATCTCTAAGCTTCTTTGAGTATTTTTTCAAATAAGCTCGTTGAAATTTTTATTTCAGCTAGCTTATCAAATAATTTTACCAAAAAGTTCTATCACATAAAACACTTTATCATATGATAGCTTTTCTAAGCTATAAACTCGAAAATCACTAATAAGCTCAGCTAGTTTTACCAAACATAATTTTAGTAGAACGGGCTTTTTAAAAAACTCGAGCTCATCTCATAAGAACTTTCCAAATAAGCCTCAAGTTGCAAAACACTTTTATCATATCAGTTATAGTTACCGGTTATGACTTATAAGATCAACTAGCTTATCAAGCTTATCAATTAGGTTTACTATCTTAATCGGCCATTAAACAATCTGTATTTTTGCTTAGGAACTTCATGGCCGCCAGATAAGAGTATCTTACGCGAATGAAAGGTCACGTGGCGGCGGCTATGGTGGTGGCGGCGGCGGATATGGTGGTGGCGGCGGATATGGTGGTGGAGGTGGTGGTTATGGTGGAAACTATGGTGGTGGAGGTGGCGGATATGGCCGGAGTTATAATTCCGGTGGTGGAGGTGGTGGTGGTTACAACGATGGGGGCTATGGCGGTAGCTATGATGGAAGTGGTTCGGGTGATCAGAATTTTGGGTCTTTTGGCGGCGGCGGCAGCAGCTCGGCTGGTGGTGGAGGTGAGGGTTTTGGCCAGAATGAAGGGGATAATTTTGGAGATGGTGATGACGTGGACAACTTTGCTGATAGGAGGAGCTGATCAGGTGGGCCCCACTTATTGGAACTCCTCCTCCTCTCAAGAGGCAATCAGTTGGCCTGAAGCTGAACTCACTTTTTATTTTCTTCTTTCTTGTGGGAAAATCTTATGGTCATTGCAGTACTCAGCTTGTTTTTGTTTT